AAGCACCTGAGAGAGAGGGCACCTCCCAGAACACTGTTTTGTGCCACTCCCAACAGAAATACTCCAGGTGGACACCTTCAACAATCAGGAGCTCCTCAGTTGCTCATAGCAAATCCCACCTTGGAGTTTACAAAGACTTATGGGTAGAAAAGCCACACAAAGTAATTTACTATACCACAGGGGTCTATCCTGTTTGGGGTTCATTGGGCTTCCTGAATAGGTGTATTCTCATCTTTCATCATACCAGGAAAATTCTCTTCCAACAAACCTTTGACAAGTTTCTCTGTGGTTTTATTTGTCTCTTTCTGTTCTGGAATTCCGAATACACATAGGTTATTCCTTTTGATAGTATCCCACATGAACCTTAGGCTTTCTTCATTTTTTTTTAAATCTTTTTTCTGATTTATCCCTTTCCAAAGAAGGTATTTGCCTTCAATCTCATTAATTCTGTCTTCCATTGATTCAGTTCTGCTCCTTTGCCTATTCAATGTCTTATCTATTTCTGAAAATTTAGTATTAATCTTCTGGATTTCTGTGTGTAGATTTTGTATCATGTCTAATTTTTCATTTATTTTGTGATTTTGTTCTTATATTGTCTTTTGAAACTGTTGTAGGGTTTTCTCTGTGTTTTTCTCAATTTTGTCAGTGTTTTCCTTGATCTGTCTCTAAATTCATTGAAGATACCTAAATATAGTTCTTTTGAATTCCTTATCAGGGAGTTCCAATGCTACTCCTTCCTCAGGGATATGTTTTGGGTCTGTATCTTGGTCCTTTGTTTCTCCTGCTTTATCTTGCTTCTTTGTGTGAACTGTGATACTCTGTTGTCTCCGAGGCATTGTGACTTTTTTTGTTTATATTCAATTGTTGATTGTATGTTGGAGTGTCTTGCCCACAATTTTCAATTTCTTTATTTTGTTTGTATGTTATCAGTGCAAGCAGGGTACTGTGCTATGCTCCTCTATTCACTAGTTGACAGCACTTATATACTCACCACCTGTCTCCTTTCCTGCCCACCTTGGCAAACAGAGCCTATTCTTAGGTCCCTGGAATCCAAATGAGAATGCTATCACTTTAAAATCCAAAATGGTTGCCACTTCTAAAGATTCAAAATGGCCTGTGCCCTTGGTCACTTTAAATATCCAAAATGGCCACTGCTTATAAACATTCAAAATGGCTGCGCCCTCGGTCAATTTCATTATCCAAAATGGCCACCACTTATAAACATTCAAAATGGCTGTGTCCTTGGTCACTTTAAATAATCCAAAATGGCTTGACCCTCGGTGACTTTAAATATCCAAAATGGCTTCCACATGTAAACAACCAAAATTTTTGTGCCCTCTGGACAGTGGAAAGTCAACAGCTCAGGTTGTCTCCCTCCTTGTTGTTTCCCTTCCTAGGCATAGGCCAGCAGCGCAGTCGTCCCTGTAGCCCTTGGTGACCAGGGCTGATCTTTAGGTCAATTCTCAGATCCCAACACCACTTAGACATATTCAGGCTGTTGGTCCCGTCAGAGAAGCTGACAGTCTGCAGCTCCAACCATCTCTGTACTCACTGTTTTTGTTCAGGTTTTTCCACTAGTTGGTGTCTAATCCATTTCTGTATAGTTCCTTTCAAAGCTCGGTGCTCAAAGATTATCTTCCGTATCTCTGTCAACTGTTTTTTCTTTGTTGAAGAGAGTCGGTGTCGCTTGTCTGCCTATTATGCCATCTTACTGGAATTCCTTGTCTCATATATTCTTTGTATAATATTCAATTCTCAATATTGGTATCTTCCTATCTTTACGAACCAATTTTCTAAATAAAAGGAAGCTTTCAGATTTATACTATACATTTACATTTACAAGGTAAGAGTTATAGTGTTTTGTTGTTCTTTTTGGTTATAGAAACCAGTGTAGGTTATAGTACTTTGGAGAACTCTCCTAGATAATAGTCAATGAAACCTTGAACATATTGATGAGAGTTATATAAGAGGTGAGATAATGCCAGAGGTATCTCACTTTGTTTCATATTACCATCTCTAAATTTTGGATTTGGTTGCTACAATCTAAGAAACCAGATTGCATCCATGTTCCTTTTGTAAACTGCATGCTTGTAAAATATTCTGGATGTCTACTTGGGGTTAGATGTTGCAGCCACTGCTGTTTGCAGTGATATTTAGTGCTTGATCCAGCTGTTTATGTGAGGATAATTCCATTTTTAACTTAGAATGGACAGTGTCTGTTGCTCAGAATACCTGCCCAGCGTACTGTTGTTCAGTATTAGGGAGTGCTGGTAGTATAGTGCCTAAGACCTTTGACTGCTAAGCAGAAGGCTGGTGGTTCAAACCCACCAGCCACTCCTCGAAAGGAAGGTTGGCCAATCTACTTTTGTAGTGATACCACCTTGGAAACCCAAAGGAGGAGTCCCTATGAGTCGAAATCAACTCAACTGCAGTGAGTTTGGCTTTATGTTTGGTTCAGTATTAGGATATAATTAAATGTTAAAGTTTAATGAGTAAAATTGCTTTTAATACTAGACTTCCTGTCTTTACATCTTCTGTTTAGGCTTTCAAGTCTAACACTCAAAACAGACAGGTAGTTTTTCTCTTTAAGGAAAGATCATATACTTAGGGGGAAGTTTCAAGGTACCATTTCTAATGACTTGATACTTTACATGTGTGCTTTTTGTTTTAAGGGCTCGTTTCAGGTTTTGCTTTAAGCATAACAGCATAATGCCTTGTATATATTATGATTTGACCTGAGAAATTCTGCTCTTTAGGGCTACCTCTTGCCCCGTTAGTGCCTTTGAGCAAATTAGGAAAAGGTGCCTTCCTCTGGGGGTTAGACCTTACAAGAAGATGCAGTCCTTTCTTGGTGAGCAGAGTGTAACTGGCTTATAGCCCCAACTCAGCCTTGGCTAGGTGCTCTTGTGCAGTAAACAGTCTGGAGCACCCTGGGACAAATTTTGTTTCTGTACTTTGTACTGATTTGGATTTGTTTTGAAAAGTTCATTTAGCATTTAGTAGTTCATATTTTTTAAAAGTTTTGTGTATGTAAAATACTAAAGCTAAAGTATAGCAGAAGAGGTAAAGTAGTATTTCCTTTTATTATTAATTAAGAAAAATAAAATAGTGTTTATTCTAAAACAGTACTGTTTGAAAATTACTAGTTACTCTATTTTATATGGTGCCTCATATTAAACTTAATTGCATAAATAATATCTAGCTATATATATTCTTTAATTTTGACTTTCCCATATTATGTAGAATATTTCAGATCTTGTAATTCATGTCCTAGCATGTCATGCAATTAATTCTCCAGTGCTTTGTATTAGTAATTCTGTAAGTTTTGTAATTAAAATGCTTGCTTTTTCCTACTCCCTCAGGTACTTTGGTCTGGGAAGCCATATGGTTCATCTCGAAGTATCGTGAGGAAAATTGGTACTAATTTATCTCTGATTCAGTGTCCAAGAGTTCAGTTTCAGGTACTTTTTTTTAATATATATACATTTAAAAATATGCTACTATTATGAGTTATAAATATAAATAGGCAAGACGATTTTGGAAGTGTTTTCTTTTTAATTTAACAATAAAATGAGAGGATTGAAAATGGCAGTAAAGTCTCTCTAATTTTATTTTCTCTTTTAAGTGATTATTCAAAATCTTTAAGACGTTTATCCTTCTTAAGAATGCATATGTGAAGATTTAGAAGCATATAATAAGCTAAGCAGTGTTTATTTCTCAGATGACCTTGAATATAGACCTTATATTACTTCAGGAGGCTCGGGTACCACTTTTCTTCTGTTGATATATCTTCCTCTTTGCACAACCACTCTGTTCCCCTGATTTATTTTGGATGTCACTGTAGATGCCATATAAGCAGTTCAGCAGTGATTGTGGGAATTATTGCCTTGGCAATGACAGTGTCAAGACAGAGAGGTAATTGTGGTTCTCTGAGTGAGGTGATAGACAAATCCTGAATGAGAACTATTTTTGAAAGCTCAGGTCTTAGAATTCTCTTCTAACACCAAATCAAAAGCAGCTCTTTTGTTTACTTGGAGATAAATTGCTATTCTCTTTGATTTGGGATTTTATTCCTTATTATTGTTATAGTGTTAGATAATATATCACATAGCTCTGCTCTTATTTTTCAGTTATTCTGTGTAACAGCAATATGACGAAAAAAACTTCCAGTTAGCCTTAATAATATGAAGTTCTATGCTTACTATACCAATTTTAAATAATAGGTTAACATGTAGAGATGTGGAAGTTGTGTTTAAATAATTCAGAAGTTCAAAAGTTTCCCACCTTGCTTGTTTGATATCATGTCTGCTCATAAATTATTCCTCTTGGTAGAGAGGTAAAAATCTATTCCTAAGTAAATAGAAATTAGCATGTGTTCAGCTTGACTAGAGAATTTGTTCATTATTGTATTCATAATGCTATTTGCAAGTTGACTAGGTAAAATAAACCTTTGTACCTCAATCTAGAAACCAACAGATTGGAAATTTCCAAGAAGTAATTTTTTAAAAATAATCAAATATAGGAATCTGTGGTAATAATCCTTTCAAGCACAATTTCTGAGAATTCAGTTCATTTAGACACATTTAGACAGCTGATTGCTTTATTTGACAACTTCCTTCAAACGATTAGTGTTAACTTTTGCTTACTAACTTTTTTTTTTGATTGCTCATCTCCATGAAATTAATTATTTTCTATCTATCCAATCTCCTGGAGCCTGTGTGGTACAGTGGTTCAAGTGTTAGCTGCTAATCAAAAGGTTGGTTCAAGCCCACCAACCATTCCACAGGAGAAAGATGTGACAGTCTGTTTCTGTAAAGATTATAGCCTCAGAAACACTATGGGGCAATTCTACGCTGTCTTGCAGGGTCATTATGACTCAGAATCGACTCAGCAGCAATGGGTTATTCAATCTTCTAATTTCAGGAGAACTTGCTTCAGCACTTGTGTTTATGTAGCTGCAGATGTTTAAGAGGGCATGGAGATATCTAGCATTTTCTTGCTGCAAAACAAATCTACTTTGACAATCTATGAGCAGAAGTAATCTCAGCCATGTGCATCTCCTTGGGATGGTTCTTTCTTAAATGTTGGTGTCAGTCGCTTAACGGTATAAAGCAAAAGAGAGTATTAGATTTAGTACAAGAACTCCATTGAAAAAAGGTGGGTTAACATAAGCAGAGCAGTAAGGTAAGAGGAACATTGGTAACCTTCTTGAGATTGCAGTGGAAGATGAAAGACATTTCTTTAGAGTATTTTTATTTCCAGGCATTTTGTAGCAAATTATTCCTTCATATCTTCCATTTTTTCTTTCTTACATCTACCAGAAACATAAGTGTAGAGTTTTCAAAAATACAGAGGATGGATGCCATTGAAAGTAATAAAATTGAAAATGCAGCTTTGCTATTTTATGGCTCGTTTTGGGGCTGAATGATATGGGATGTATCTGGGCTATCTAGGAGTCCAATATGGGTAATTGTTGTTGTTGTTATGTGCCGTTGAGTCAGACCTGACCCAAAGCGACCCCCCCTTGGGTTTCCG